TATATATATATATATATAGTTTAGAATTTGTGTATACATTAAATTGTTAAGAATCAATAAATGGTATTTTATTTAAAGTTTAGTGTTATAAAATTATTATATTTATTTAATATTACTTTATGTATCATTGACTATTGTTTTATTAATAATGGTTTGACCACAGTTTAACTATGGTAGAACTTGAACATTAAATTAAATTTAGATGATTCATGACTAATTTAATTTTAAAAATAATAATTTTTCACATTTATTATAATACTATTTTCATCCCAAATTGATTGTAGTTTTAATATCTGAAAAGTATTTTAAAATGATTGATGTTCTCACTTTTCAATATAACATTATTTTTTTTCCATAAATTATTCTACTATCACAATTAAAAGTAATACATTTATTGTAAAAATAAGAATATTTTAGTAATATTATTTTTAATATGTGTGTAAAAACCTTAAACTAGACATGATTGTGAAATGGAGAGAGTAATATACAAAGTTTGAACACCAAGTTATTTGATTTACATGTATGAAATTCTCTTCAATAGTTGCATCTTTTATGTTGATTTGTTAGGTTTTTCTTTGATTTATTTTCTCTTAACACGAGTTATATTTCTTTTAAACTATTTTAATTGTTTGAGTTTTGTTCTAATTGTTTAACTTACAAGTTATATTATACAAGTATTTTAAGTCTATGCATGCCAACTATTTATTATATAAATAAAATTAATAATAAACTATATATATATATATAAATAATATATATTTCAATATAAAAATTATATTAATTAAAATTTATATAAACAAATATTTTCAAACATATAAATTATATATATTTGTAAGAAGATATTTATATTAATATAACACAACTATTTTTAGTAATTAATAATTTGTTCTAAAATTATTAAGTTTAATTTAGAAATATATGTGGTAAATGCAAATTGAAATATTATATAAAACTAAAAGGATTTCTAAAAACAATTACTAAAGAAAAATGTCTAAAATCCCTTTATTTAAGAAGAGAAATTCATAATAAAAAAAATACTACATATAATACAACTATTCATATTAAATATAAAGAATGAAATTAAATTGAAATTCCAACTTAACTCTAAGAATCGGAGAACAATTACCCAAAGAAAAGATCACTTTTTTTTTTATCCATCTTTATACATAGCATAAAATTGTAGTTAATATGAAAGCCCAAAAGTACAGAAACAAGTGATATTGTAATTTAAGATTAATATAAGTTTTTGTTACTCTGAATTAGTTTGAGTTCATATTCACTTGCACACTAAATAAAAAGCACCAAATAATCTAGCAATCTATCAATGAAACAAACTACCCTTAGAATCTACTAGTTTTACTCTAAAAAAGAATTAAACAACTGAATACTCATCATGCTTTATTTCATCAATGTAACCCATTATATAGGAATTACAACATCCCTCAAACGTGACTCAAGCTAATAAAATTATACCAAAGTAATTTTTATTTAATTGAAAAAACATCTAAATTCGGCTTAAGTCTTTTATCCAGAATGCCCCCTTCCTTTTATGCTTGGGCATGACCCACTATCACACATCTTCTTGAATAATCAAATATTGACATATCCCAGTTAAATTTCTCAAAAATAATTTACTTCTTATTTTATTTTTATCTTTCTCACTTTTCAATACACGTTAAATATTGATTATTCTCATCTCTCTGACATTAGATTAGCTGAACTCTACCCAATAGAAATATAAACATACTCTTATCTATTAACTTTTCCTGTGTTGAAATATATTTTATGATATTTTCTCACAAAGAACTATTGTGAAATAATGTTTTAAAATCATGTCTCTTTGTTGAAATATAAGTTAATGAGTTTGAACCATTGATTGTTTGTGGGTGCAAATAATAAAACTTATAAACATCTAGAATTCATTAATTTTTAAAGTAAAACAAAATGGTCAACTTCAAAACGAATCCTTTTAATATATAAGATAAATATATAAATTGAGACCAAAGAGTCACCTGTGGATCCGTGGCGCAATGGTAGCGCGTCTGACTCCAGATCAGAAGGTTGCGTGTTCGATTCACGTCGGGTTCAAATCCCGTTTTTATTTTTAAAATCCTTATTGTTCACACAAACTAATATTCAAATTATGCATCACTATCAAGGAAATTTTTTCATACGTTATGAAAAATAAACTCTTTTCAGGAGGGTATATAATTAGAATCAAATAAGAGTTGTGACTTGTATAATAGACAATTATTTTAGGATTTGATGATTATTAACGGGCAATTTAAAACATTTTAGACTATATACTTTTTCTCTCAATATTTTACGGTGTTGCAAATATTTCAAAGTAGCATTTATTCATAAAGTTAATCACCTATTCATTGTTAGTGTAAAATTTTTTTACACTGACAATCAATCATATTTTTTAATAGTGACATGCCAGTTGCTTATTTAATGAAATAATAATAAAATAAACAACTTTAAAAGATATGATTGGTTACTAGTATAAAAAACTTTATATTGACAATGTATAGATGATTAACTCTTATTCATATCTATTTAATTGTCTATAGTTAATAATCATCATAACGAAAGTTCTTTTACGACAATTGTTCTTAGTTTTCCGCCTATTTTTATAAAAAATTATTCATTCATTATTTCATTTTCGTTACTTTTTTTTTTACTATAATCTAATAGACTATAACCTTTTAATTTTATATATATATATATTTATTTATTTATCTCTATATATATATATATTAAACGCGAAATATTATCTTACGTGAGAATAATTTTAAGAACTATTTTTTAATAAGAGTATTTGTCAGATTTTTTTAAGTTATTTATCTAATTCAATTTTTTACTTATTATATTTATTTATGAATTAAATTAACTTTTATATATTAAACACAAATAACTATTTATTACAAGAGTATTTTTAAGGGTTATCTTTTGAGATGAGCATTTATAGAAATATTTTTAAATTTTTATCTAATTTATTTTTTTATTTATATTTATTTGTAAATTAAATTTTTTAAAAATTTTATATGACTTCTTTTAAGCTTAGTTAGCTTTAACCTCGACTTAAATGACTCTACACAACCTAATTCTTAACGAACCCGTAACCTTTAGAACTCTAAAAACAACAACAATTACACTATAGCATCATATAACAATAAATATCATATAATAAAGCATTAATGATAATATTATTCAAAAAATATTAAAATAAATACAAAAGGATATATTCAAAGAAATGAGAGATTAAAAATCAATCCTTATAAATTAAATGTGAACAACTATTTTATATTCAAAAATTTTATTTATCAATTTTATTTAAGAATCAAATTTGTGCGCTTTGGATGTTCATTGGTTGTTAGGTTGGAAAATAACACGTTCTGACTTGGGGTTCATGTTGTTGTTTGTTTTTTCTTATAAACAATAAAATAAGTTCAAAAAAAATTAACAATGAACATATTAGTCGCAAAATATAAATAAATTAAATCATTTAAATTTTCAAAAATTGAAAATGTTGATCATATTATTTAAAGATAACATGATCATATCTTTAAATTTTTGTCATACAAAGATTAGAATCCAACTCATTATGATATTAATTAAGCACTTAATAATATCTCATAATAATATAATAATGCATTTTATTACATCTCAAAATGATATTAATTTTGATCGTTGATTAATATTATCAATTATATTAATGTAGTTTTTCTAAAAAAATCTTTATAAACTAAACAACCTATATTATTCGATCATAGAATAAGTTGCTAGTCAAAATATGCTATACTATTTAACTAAATGATAAAAGAATATTTTTTTAACATGTAACAATGTAGTCAATTAGATTTTGTATGCAATTTTCTATATAATGCTACAAGAAAAAGAAGGGTGAGCCTCGTTAAATATTATCTTAAAATCACAACAGGACTCTTAAATTGTGGTTTTTGAAGTAACT